GTTGGGACTAACACTATCTGGCTGCAGCAGTACCACCAAATCAAGCTAAAAAATGAAAAAAAACAACAATGATAATGATAGCTAAACCGTCAAACTGCTAAACGATAAAAACTAATCTTTATCCACTTATACTTGACAACATCCGTGGTAATTAGTACAAATAATCATTGCCAACATCAATACAATAAACGGTAATCTTTAACTTATAAAATATATATATATTGGCATCACATGAACAGCCACACAACTACAACAGCTAACAGATTACTAACTATTGCGTTCTCTTCTACTTCTTGTCAAAGTAAAATAAACAGCATAAAAATAATGATTAAAAAAAACGAAAGTTACAATTTAAGAAAAAAATTAATTGTAGTTAAAAAAAATTTTGTTAAATCAACTGATTTTTAAAACCGTATTATACACGGAAATCAGATACAGATACAGGCAACAGAACTTTCTCAGGAGAAGCTAACCGCTTGAGTATTATTTGCGTAAAACTATATCTAACTAAGCCATTGCTTCGTTCCAGTTTTGAGATATACAAATTAATGGTTTGACAGTTGTTTACAGAAGTTGTAATCAGATGTAAGGTTGAAGTTAGCAGCAGTTAACAAAAACAGTTTTTTCTTTTTCTTAAAACATTGAATTATCAAGAAAAAATTAACAGAAATGCAGTGATGAATAAAAATCAATTAAAACTATGCCAGAAAAAACCTTATCTTTTTGGTGGCTTACGCTAAATAGTACAATTAGTATATTAACAACAACACAATTCACCGCTGTGCAATCAACAAAAATAAGTAACAGCTATCTTGGCAAACTTACGACCTTGTCTTTCGGCACATCAAATTAACTTCGGGTATACAATGAGTTAAGCTAACGACTTTTAAGGAACCTTTCGACAAGCAAAGCATCGTGTTAAAAAGCATTTTTAAATACTCATTTATCTGATTGACTTGACAGTTCTTTCAGATCAACAAAGCTAACAATTAATTTTCGTGAAAAACAAAAAAAAACGACAAATTTTCTATTCTGTGTTACAGGTACACTGATGAAACAAAGTTTTTTTCTTCAATTTATTCAGCTTCATTTTTTTTTTTTTTTTTTTTTTTTGAGGAATAAATCCGACGAGCAGATACAGGCAAACTTCTGCAATGCAACAGTAACCGAAATGTTTAAATTAGAGCTTTGAATGCAACCAATCAAACAATGAAAAAAATGTGCAGTATTTTCAGTCAAAATTTTTCTTTGTCTTTTATTCAGCTTCATTTTTTTGCGGAATAAATCTGACGAGCAGATACATAAAATGCATAAAATTACAACGACAAATAACAGAATATTTTAAACCAGCAAAAATCTAGTAACTAGCCGCTTTTTGCTAGTAGACTAACAGTAATAATAGCTTTCTTCTTGCCATTTATTCAGATGTATCGGCTATGCAACAACGATTAAGGTACCAGTGAGAACTAATAAAAAAAACGAAAAAAACCTGGTTCTGCAACAGTTAAACAACCAAAACCAATAATACTTATATTATATCAAAAAAATACTAACAGAACAAAACAAGAAGAAAAAAAAAACAAATTCTACATTAGACTTTTTTTTTTAGTAAGTTTCTTGCCAATTTTTCTGCACCAAAGCCTGAAGTATTACGGCCGATAAATTAGCTCAAGCAACCGGACATTAACAGTTTAACACTGATGCTATGTTACAGTAAACATAAAAGTTTCTTTAATTCATAAATAGAACAAAAAAAAAAGGAAAAGTAAAAAACAAAAAAAAAGTAGTTAAGAAAGCCTAAATTTTCTGTAAATTTTCTTTCCTACAACTCTCAATGTTTTCTTGGTCTTTTTTGTTTTCAGATAAATTTTATGTAGCAAATAGCACCAAATTATTCAAATAAAAGTTTTTTTTGGTAGAAAGACTGTCCTAAATTTGTATAAAACTGTCATTCCCCAATCATCCATACGTTTTTATAGTAAGCAGTTTTTTGACGACACCTCTTCATCCCCCTTCCATTCTTTTTCCCTTTCCTTTTCCCCTCTCCTCATCGCTTTCCACCTTTTCGCCCACTCCAAATTACCCCTATCTTTTCTCCTTTACTTCTACCCAATTTTTCACTTTGAACTTATTTTTGATAAGACAAAAAAAAAGAAAGAACTTTTCTTAACCTTGAAATTCCCTTTTTCGCTCAAAAATTATTCATTTCGCTTATGGAAATACCAAATAGAAAATATAAGCAAACTGTTGCATTAAAAATATTTTTTTTTTTTTTTTGAATAATTTATGAAAAAAATTATATTTGACCTCTAACTTTTTTTTAAATGCTTCACTATAAAATAAATATATTTTTTTACCATTTATAAACTCTATTGTAATACAGAGTCTATTTGTTGATGTAACTGTGCACAGTTATTTTGAATGAACTAACAACTAAATTGGCCAAATACCTCAGCTCTTTTCTTTTCCCCTCCGCTCGTCCCCTTCGGCATCTCGTAAATGACGTCTTTTGTTAAAAGTAAAAATAACAAAGAAAAAAAGATTTTTTTTCAAAAAATTTCAAAGTATTTTAAAAAAAAAGTGAAAAATAGTGGTCATTTTTAGTGTATATACCATTAGTGACCAAATGGAACATCAATAAAATAAAGATCTCTTAACTGCAAAAAATAAACAGAATTTTTAGCTAAGTTAATAGCAAACAAAAAAGAGTTTTGAATCATTACATTACTCAAGCAGCTCAGTTATTTGGATTTTGAAAATTTATGAAAAAAAATTAGGCTGCTTATTTTAGTAGTACTTCGTAACTTATCAAAAATGGCAAAAATAACAGCGATAAATTAACTGTTCATTGATACACTAAATAAACTAATTTCAACTGTTTGGTTGTGGCCCGTTTCTTTCCGCTTTGATAGCATAAAATTTAAATAAAAAATAAAACTGAATTGAAGAATTTTAAGGTTTTATTTTTTGAAACAGTAATTTCTTTCGTTTTATTGCACTTATTTTTCGTGTATTTGTATTTCAAACAGTCAAACAATCTAAAAATGAAGATTAATAATTGCCCTGTTTTTTTCCAGCAAATTTGAAGTTTATTTGAATAAAATATCAATATAGAATATGTCAGTTTTGTAACAGTAATCATAATATTGACAGTAATAGTAACGTTGGCAGCATTAGCATCTAATATCAATAGCAGTAGCAACTTCATCATTAACACCAACAAACAGTAGCAGAAATAATAGTAAAAAAAAAAAAAGAAAACAAAGCAAAAAATGAAAACTGTAAACAGTTGACAGCTTCAGAAGCTTCAAGACTATGTGTTCGACCAAAACGAGAGAAACTATGGCAAATGATGATTGGGGTGTTGTCGTTGTTCTTCTTGTCCGTATCAATAGCAGTTTTTTTTTTCTTTTTGTTGACAGAACAAGAAACACACACACACACACAGAGATACTGACGTCAAAAGCCGTCTTTTTCGGTTGGTCAATTATGAGCAGATTCAAAGTTTATTGCGAGATGCGGTCAGAGCCCTTCCGGTTAATCTTTCAATATTGAAGATTGAGAAAGAGTGTGAAAAAAAAAAA